CATTGTGTAGCTTTGTGCTTAACTTCAAACAACATCAACTTCAAAGATTCTGCGTACGGGCCTGATATGTATGTATATATATCCACACACATACACAAATACACATACATACATATACCCCAGGGTTACAAGTTAGTATTAAATAGTGCAATATTTTAATTGCCTCATGTTCGTTTAATTTAAGAAGAGCCGTTGTCTGAAGAGCAGTGTTAAAGCTGCGAAAGCGCTACAAACCTATAAAGAGAAAGATACGATATTTCGAACCTAGTGCTGCTTTGAACATTTATATATATTCGTTACGCTCGAGAAGATCATACCTTTATACCTATGTATTTCATATTTTGGATATACACGTAGCTATACAGGGTAATATAAGTAGAGAAGGGCATCGTTTCCTTTAACTCTTATCAATTACCACAAATCTAAAACAGTTATGATGAAACATTACGAGGTTTATGAAATACTGCAAAAAGCATTTAGTATCGAGTTTCTAGATAACATAAATAAAATAGTATACAAAATAAAACAAATATACTTGTACTATTTATGTCACGTTTCGGATTGGTACAAGATGTTTATTAGGTCAATTTATCTTCTGTTTCCAGCGCTTTAGATAAGATTCGATAAAAATGGCTTGTTTCTGCCTAGCATTGAGTTACGGATGTGGAGTGGAATTTCCCGAAATCGATCCAACTCGGAGACGCATGTGAGAACAGAAGATAGAAGCCTACTTTTAGCTTAGTTTTCTCGCTAGTTATTGATGAACATTTCTAGAAAACCCTTACAATCGGTAATTTCCTGTGAAGGGTGCTAAAGCACTACTTTGAATAGTTTCATCAAAGTAGTTTTCACGCAAGCAGAAAGTGTGTATTATCAAACCTGTTCATGCGTAAGTTTATAAAAAGATGACGATCATGTAAATCTCATCAGCATAGTTGCATAATTCTAACTGTCATTGCAATTAATACTTTCTCTTGTTTTTGGTAACGACCTTCAGTCCTAACACGATTCCACGACATCGTACACTATTAACGTGTATTTGTTAATATAACAAAATCATAATACGACCTAATTCTAAGGCCGTCTCAGGTAAGACTTGACAATGATCTTACTCTGATATATTACTAAGAAGTCTAAGTGTGTAACTCATATAGAATTACGCACTCGTATACCCAAATATGTAAAGTGTAGGTACATAGAAAAGACATACATATCTATACCAACATAGATGCACAGAAACAAACATGTGTGCAGCGTTGGAAATAATTACGGAAAGGGCGAGGAAACAAATACTACGAGAACAATACCCCTTTATCGTGTGAAAATAAGCGGCACCTCAGTACTATCACGTGTTGATAGCTTACACCGTGTTTGGTGATTGGTTGTAATCCAAAAAATCAGAAAATGCCATGCCAGTATAAAGCCTATAAAACTATACATAGTCATACTATGCCCAGCACTAGTAGTATGAATCAAATAGTCATAGTATGCTTATAAATAGTAGGAAAAGCAGACAGAAGTACGAATTTTTGATTGGTCAAGGATGCTTTATACGAAAAGTTCCTGCAAAACCTCACCTTTCAGTAGTTGTATACAATCCTATGAAGAGGGTATGTCAAAATGACACTTTGTATAATATAAGTGCCCCTCCACTGGCTCAGTGGTAAGTCTGACGGTTCATACCGCTAAAAACCAACTTTAGATACTCGTGGTGGGCATAGCACATATAACACATTGGACTTAACAGCAATCAAACAAACAAATCATAATAGAAATAGCCCATGTAGAAAACCGAAGTATTCCAGAAGTGATTTTAAGTATATATATACGAAACAGATCTTGTCAATAACTTTGCTGTAAATACAGAAATGAAAGTTATCTTAAGAACAGCAAGATGCACATAAGTATCAGGTGGGTTCAGTGAACACGTAGGTGCTCGAAAACACACAAAAGATTTAAATGGGTATCGGACTAAAAACGATGGAATAAGCAAAGCTGCAAATTTTTACAGATGAATTCAAGTTCTAATTGTTCAACAACAACCAACGACATTTTGTATGACGTCGAAAAAAAAAAGAATCGTATATTCAGTATACAACATTTATAATAAAGCATAATGGAGTATCAGTACAAGTTTGGGATAGCATTTCAGCCAACGCTGTCGATAATCTACACAAAACTGATGGCAGACTGACTGCTGACAAGTACATGCATTTTCTGGTCCATCGTTTCAAACCCTCAGGAAACTGACTCATTGGGTAAGTCCCATCTTTCAGAAATATAATAGCCCCAAACAAACAGCAGTTTTGGCGAAACGATACCTTGACGGTAAATAGGACGATCGCTTGGTTGCGAAGTTCCTACATGGACTTATGCAAAAACCCAAAAGGTCAAAAGGCGACCAAACAAGTTGGCTAAATTGTGACGAGTTATACAAGCATTTGGAACAGTATTATAGAATAGTACATTCATAAATGTATAGTAGCATGAAAACAACATATAGTGCTTTGTGTGAAGAAAAGGGCTCTCATACAAAATTATTGTGTTTTATACAACCTATTTGTTTATTTTCTATAATATATAATAACGTTTGGACCATTAATAAGCTCACCATATAGTTGCTGTTATCCGTTGTTTGTGACACCTACATGTGTATCGCTTATGTGTTTTCATACTATACATACAAACACACACACATCGATATAGACATACATATAATAAATATTCACACATTCAGACATGTGTACACATATAAATATACATTTTTGTTTGTTTAGTTTTGTGGTTAAGCATCAATGGGTATCTGTGCTGTGTCTACCCCAGGTACTGAAACATGATTTATTTTTTAGCTTTATAATTGCGTAAGAATACTGGTGAGAAACCGGGCGATATATACACATAGATACAGGAGGCACACTTATTCAAAAACATACATGCACACTGTATATGTAGAAATGGACATATACAGATACTAAAATGCATACATAGAGATATGCATACACATAGTCAAGCAAACATACATTCATACATAAGTACCTGGATACATAAAGAGACGGGAACATACACGTTTTAGAACTCGAGTTCGCTTCTTTTGTTCCATATAAATAACAAAAACCTGAACTGTGCGAAGTAGGTGGGTCTATTGAATATGGCGAAGTAGGTGGGTCTATTGAATATAGCAAAGTAGGTGGGTCTTCGTTGAATATTCTTACAATAGCCTTATTGAAAATCGATTATTAAATTTTTACGTAAAATCCTTGAAATTTTTTAGAAGTTAAACCTATTAGATACTTGTTTACATGCACACTTCTCGAAACAAGAGATAATAACGCGGCAAGAAATATGATAAAATTATGTTGTTGCTGTTCTTATTTGGCTGTTGTAATTTTCTGTGTCATTTACAAATTGTGTACAGAAACATATAGAAGTAACAATTCTTTTTTTAAATGTGCCACCACCTTGATATTTATTTTTCTTTCAAGACTTTAATAAAGTTTGACATACAGGAAGGTTCCAATACGTACTCACAATGAAACACTGTCAAAACTGTTAAGAAATTCAAATCAAAATAACATCGAGAATAAATCACGTGCTCCTAGGGAACAATAAGTATCGTGCTTACCTCAATAATAATGATGAATATCGCAGCTCCACGTGAAATGTGTTGTCGAACAATACAGGACAGATATGCAGAAAGACTATATTTACAGGCGTTCTATGCACTAGTCAGATAAGTAGAAATTGAGCAAATTGGATAAGAGTTTCGAACGAAATATAAGCCTGCTTGGAATCTAAGGTTTGAAAGTGCAAAGGAACTGTAACGTCTAATTAGTTTTATCCATTACACATACACAGCACTTCAAGCGAAAGGATTTTACGTACAGAAAGAAAGATAACACACACACAGAGACAACACTCTCATACACATACATACATACACACACTTTCTCTCACATTGAAAGAGAGGGAGAAGCTTTATAAAAAAAGACAGGTTAAACAAGAAGTCTGGGAACAATTTCGTCTTTATCGTTTTGTATGTCTAGCTATAGCTTTTTTGTCTTTTGTTTTTGGTCAGTCACAGTGGAGAAAGAGGTAACGTTATTACCAATGTTTATATATATTGAGAGGAAGGAAAGATAGAAACAACTATCTCACCAGTTCAGATCATCCTTTAAATATTAGACTTTGTCTTCTTTTGTCAGATATTCTTTCAATGATACTTTTGCCCCCCCCCCCAGTGGCACAACGGTTATGTCTGCGGACTTATACCACTAGAAACCGGGTTTCGATACCCGTAGTGAGCAGTGCACATATAGCCCTTTGTGTAGCTTTGTGATTAATAACAAACAACAACAACATCAATGATACTTTGAACGATAAATTTCTTTGGTAAGTTGCCAATTATGGCGCCATCTATCGTATCGAGTATAGTGTTCAACAATAAAAATAGATCAAACTGTATGAAGAATTATAATTTTTACATGCATCCCCAACTTTTCAAACATTTTATTAATTCGATACGCACGTCCAAGTACACTAAACAAAAATCAGAAAAATATTGCTTCAATTAATTGTTTCTTTCTTACAAAAAACATCTAAAAATAGGCTTTTTCTCTAAATCTGCTCTAGCAATACAAATATACAGTATATGAAACCTGGCTTCTCATGGTAGTACACGTCGCTTAATGATAACGTTCTCAGTTTTTAATTTCATTAATGTAAGTGGATGTAAAACAAGTTATTGAAATAACAATTTTGTTAAGAGCTGTTGAAATAAGGTGTAATTTTATCCAGAATATGAAGTGCTTTCTGATTGGTAAAAGGTAAAACAGCTGTAATTTATTTTTTTACATTTAATTATCAAAAACAGATGCGAATCCATTCCCCTATGATCCATCGATGAACGCGCGAGGAACACGCACGTGCAGTAGATAAATCGTGAGCCCTTCCATATCGTTTTACCTCTTTACCGTTGTCATTGGATCGAATAGCACGCAAGCGTCAAGAAAGAACGAGAACACGCCACTAAACCAACGGAGCGCAGTGCAGTGAAGAACATTACACGTTGGTATCTAGGTTTAATGCAGGGCGGGAAAATTGGGCTGAATTATCAAGAGTTACAATTACACCAAAAGGAAGTTAGTTCTCATTTCGGGTCTTTAACAAAATTCTTTTTGCTTTAGTTTTTTCTTTTAGCCAAATAACGTGTGAATTGATTTTTACTGGTTTTGTTGTCAACTTGTGGACAATAAACTCCAAGAAACTTCCAGACTCAGACTTCCGTTTCAAAAATTCAGAAAGCGTTTAGTTCGTCACTTGTTTCTAACTGCACGATGAGATAAACGTGTAGCAGGTTACTGTGGAGCGTGGAACTATAGCTGAAGGTAAGACATCATTGTTCAACTTTATTTATACCTGCTATAGTATATTAGTGAAGAGCTGTCTACCACTTAAATAATATATCACTAGTTAAGTTGTTGTTGTTTTTTGACTGTTGTAATTTTCTGTATCATTTACAAATTGTGTACAGAAGCATATAGAAGTAACAATTATTTTTTTAATGTGCAGCCACCTTGATATTTATTTTTCTTTCAAGACTTTAATCAAATTTGACTTAGAATTTGTAAAAACGATCCGTAGTTAAATATTAAATAAGTTTTACCCTTTGTTTGAACGTGATGCCCACTCCTCTGTATCAGTTATCTAAAGCTTTCATTTTTCACCATGATGAATAAGTTTTAAATAATAAAGTAATAATTTTGTATGTTTCTCAGAAATTAGATAATACTGCTGGTATGTTGAAGACTGTGTATTAGTAGATTAATAAAATGTATTGTTCAGTGCCGCGCTGAATAACGATAACTATTGTTACGACATCGAGGTCACGTGACTACTATCACGCCACGTCGTTCTCGAACATTCACGTCTTTTTCTTAAATCTCGTGATCCTTCTAGATATATTGGAGTCTTGTATATATATAAGATGGTCACA